AACAAAAATAAAGAAACAAAGAAAACATATGTAGTACTATCCATTATATTCGGATTCTCCAGATCACCCAATCTTAGCCATCCGTAATAGAATCGTGAGGCTGAAAATGAACTATTTCTTCAACTCATCTTCCCCACTCGCCTATGCAATTACCCTATCCAAGCTCCTTCCTTAGCTGCTGCGAGAAAATCCTGCAAGCATCCATCCTCATATCAACAACTGCAGTCAACGCGATGAAAGCCCTTGCGTCCTTCATGTAGTTCGCGTGCTATACGCTCACCTCCACTGCGTTTGTAGCAGTAGGTTTGCAGCGGCACGTTTAGGTTTGTTTGCAGCAATGATGGTGACTGCTGTAGAGGAGAGGGGAAGGAGAATATGGGTGATTCAGAGGATCCATATGTAATGGATCCAACGAGAATCCTAATCCGTAATACTTGTGCTATGTAGTACGACGCTAGATAAAATTAACATTTCAGAAAACGAGTGGGAATGGGAGAAACTGGTCTGGCCGGGGCCTTGTTTCTTGAGACTTTTGGACCCGTTCCGCCCCGTTATTTTTCTTGAACCTGCCCCATCCCGTCCTGTTTGTGTTTTACAATTTTCAGACCCGCCCCGAACTACATGGACCCGACCCGCCCTGCAGGACTAATACCTGTTTGCCCACCCCTAATTTTATCTACTTTAATAGTCTACACCCGTGGAGATGTTAGTCACTGACGTAAAGTCTGTATATCAAACACAAGCCCCTGGGGAATTGATCTCCTCTACCTATATCAGCTACCATATCTTGTACATGCATGAAGCCTTCCTGAAATGAAAATAAAGTTAAGTAACAAAGGGGGCGTTTCAATATTGTAGCCAGCAGAGTTCAATTTAGACTTGTATTTTATTGAAGTGACAGGGAATCCCTATCGGGAAGCAGTCCACAGCTCTCCAAATTTGTATGATGCAAATACAATATCTCTGTCAGTCATACGCCCCGGATTTATTAAAGTGGGAGCAGTTGACGTGTGGCCAATTGAAGATGCAGCCTTGAAAATTTGTTTCATCTAATATTATTCAATAATTTTGTCATTTTCTTAGTGAAAATTTCAATAATCCCAATAAAATCTCACTACTTAGAAGTAAAAGAATGTGACGTCTCCACTTTAGCACCACATAATTTGTCAATCTGCATCTTCAATTTGATTAAACAAATAGCCACTTGCCAGTTAGGGTTAAGGTTTTGTTTTATCAATTGATTTTCCAACTTGATTAATTTAAAAACAGTGGGGGAAAGCATTTCTAGGACTGTCTTTTCCAGTGAAAATGTTAGGTCAAAAAGTGTGGAACCTACTGCCAGTCTGACACTTCAAATATTTTAATTTCAATTATTTTAAAAACTTCTGTAATTATTTAGAGGATGATGACGATCTGTTGTGAATAAACGTAGAGGATTCACAGATTGGGTATTGAAGTTTGCACATCCAAATCAAGAAGAGATTTTTAAATATGTCCGTATCACTGAATAATACGTTATATGTTATTATATAAGTAGAGATAATTTTTTTTTTGTTTTTCAAATATCCCTCTATTTGTATGTGACATATGAAATATATATTTGTGTTTCGAGCATACCGAAAATCTCTCCAAACTATGAGATCGAGAAAACAGAAAAGAGCCACTTTATTAAATTATATGAACAGTTTGTAGCCTGTTTCCTCTAAGTTGTCGGTGACTTTGATTTCATCATCTGGTTATAAACTAGCTATTTATGTCACACATTTTTCAATGAAATCGATCATCTTTGAGTACAAACATACCTAATCTATATACGTTAGAATATCTTCCCCAATGAAATTCTTAGCATTATATCCGTTGATAAAAACATTACATAAAAGAGATACATTAGCTAGCAGTTGATTTGATCAAAAGATGTAAACAACAATCCTTCCACTTTAATCATGTTGTGCTTCTACGTAAATTTAGATAGTTAAGTTGGTTAAAACAGTATGTTATAGTTAAGTTGGTTAAAACAGTATGCTCTTCTTTTTTACTTAAATATTGAATTTCACTCCTTGTAATTTAAAAAAATTCAATATAAATTATTTTATCTTTTGTCCAAAAAAAAAAAGCATACTACTTCCATATTTATGGGATTTTGTAATTTTTTTTGTTTCATAAAAGAATCAAGCGTCTCATTATTCTAAAAACAAAACATTACAATATTCTTTGATGGGCTGCTTTGTGGGGTGTTTCTTTAGGACTTATTAGTTAAACTTCCATTTGTCCATATTAGAGAAATAGAATTGTTATTGGCATTCTAAAAATCTCATTCTACACTCCAAATTTTCTATATTTAGAAAGAAAAATACACTTGTGAGGAGTGTAGAATGAGATTTTTGGAGTTACAACAATAACACTTCCCTAGAGAAAAAGCTTATTCTTTTTCATTGACATTCGGATGAGAATAAATACTGATTTGCATTGCATGTATAAAATGCTACTGTAGCATCTATACGATAAGGAAGGTCTTGAAAGTTATCTAGCGTTTTCATACGATAATTTCTAATATTTTATTATACAGAAATTAATAAATTTCACCATCAACTACAAAATTAGAATGTGATGAAATTAAAAACATAAATGTATTACTTATTGCACTTAGTACTACAATCTAATAATATTTCTTTTCACTTGTAAATGAAAGTCTTAGATCTAAATCTCGTGAATGGTATCCTCCCCCCACTCTTTATAGTAAATATATCGTTATAGAAAGAAAAAAATATACACACACGCGCGCATGACCTCCCCCTAATCAAGGGAAGTAGGAGGTCAATTAAAAAAGGAGATGAGCTTATTATGTAATAGTTTCTTTTGTGGTATGTAATCTCCGATGTTGTAATGATAATTGGGTTAGTAGGAATTAGAAGAGGAAAATATCATTTTCTTTCTCTTTTATTTTTTTTTTGTAACTGTACAAGTTGCCAACATGTTACATGTGTTTGTACGTGCAATCAAGCATTACATCTTTGATATTGCAGATTGAAGCTACAACTTTACGCTATTCAATGGCCAACACAAATGTGCATTGCAAAAGTTGATATCAAAGACGACTCTCAAAAATAAAAAAGCAGATGCAAATTTCGTGGTAAATTTCATCCTTCATCGAAGATATTTGACATCTACTAGAGCACATTTCACATTACTCGATTAAGCATATGTTTAGAGAAGCCAACATGTCTGCTCATGGCTTTGCTAATGTAGTACATTACCATATCTAGTCTTGTGTTTAGTTTAATAATTTTCCTCACGTAATAGTTCTTGGGTTACTTTGTGACAAGTTTGGTAATAGGATTCATGGAGAATTTATTTGTAAGTTTGTTTTTCTCTCAAAAAAGGTAACTGTTATTACCAATCTAAAATATCATTTTGCACTCTTCGTATGTGTATTTTTATTTCTAATTATAGAAAATTTAGAGTACAAAATAAAAATTTTAAAATGCAAATAACGAATCTCAAAAAAGGGTTCATCTCTAAGCTAGGAATAGGCGTGGGCATAAAAACTGTGGAACTGTGAAACCAAATCAACCGTTCATACCTATTTCGGTTCTGGTTTTCATATTGTAGAACCACAAAGAACCAAATCGAACCGTGAATATAAATAATTAATTAAATTTATTAATTGTATACATGTGTCACTAGATGAGTGGTCAAAACCAAATTGGTTTCACTTAGTGAGATTGCACGAGAGCATTTCTCAGACTTACTTCTCAATTAGGTTTCATAAGACTTGTGTTGAGGATTCTGATTATTTTTACTCTTATTAGTGAATGGTGCAATGACTAGAAACTGGGGTGGCCGCGAGAATGATGAACATTATAATAGGAGGATTAACCCTTCACCTTTTTGGACAAAGTTGATTTGCTTATGGTGCATACTAAGACCTAGGGAGAATTACTAAGACCTAGAGAGAATTAGTAATGTTATTCAAATTGGAGGGGAGCAAAATTTATTCAAATTACTTTCTCTAAGGGTGAATTAGTACGATAATGTAGCTTTGTATGATGTTGGTTATCTATCTTTTGAATTTGGGTTTGGTTTTTTTCTCCATTTTTGGGTGAATGGTTTTTTTTCTTTTTTTTTTTGCTCGCTGTCAAAGTGCCAGGGATATTTGTATTTTGATTTAGTATTTGAAAATGATTTGTTTTGTTTGTAACTTTGTATAACCATTTTAGAAAACGTTTAGGAATGCATGCATGCAAAAAAATTGTAAAAAACAAATAAACTTTGAATAGCATTTTGATTTGGTATTCATATCCTTTGGTATTCGAAATCGTAAACCAACATGAACCAAACCGGAATTGCCTTGAACCGAACTGTATGGTTTTGGTAATAAATTCAAATGGAACCACACCGCTCCGAACCGTTAATATATTCCGATTCCAGTTTGAGGGTGGAACCGGACCAAACCTCACCGTGCTCACCCCTAACTAAGAATCTCTTTGTAAGTTTGCTTATATTTCTTAGTTTCTATGTATTTGAGAACTACAAAGTCGGTGCCATACACAAAAAAAAAAAAAAAAAAAAAAAAAAAATTGCAGGAGGGACCACAAGCTATTGGACTACAAAGTCGCAATTCTTTTGCTCACTAACTAATGTCCAAACTATTAATCCGTTCAGGTTCATGTCTCCAGTATTTTCTTGTTATATGAACGGCATCAATTTTCTGTACGACTACTTTTGATTTTAACCTCCAATGTACAAGGGAAATTTATTGATTGTATGAATACTAGTAAAATTATATGCACTCCTCTCAACACAAGAAAATCCCATTCGTTTGTGTGATGGAATCTGCTGACAGATTTGGGTTGTGCTCGGTGACCATGATAGCTATGCAGTGTTTTTTTCCCCGATACAAGCAAAATAGCGGGCGACGGAGAATCACAAATAGAACCACAAATGCAGACACAAAGATAAATGCTCTTAAACACTTGAGCTTAATATGATGCGGGTGCACATACAAGAAACTCAATTCGTATAAATATTATGAATTTGACTGCTTTAGTAATGATGGATTTAGAAACCCAATACTTGCAAAAGTTGCACATTGAGATTAGAAGGACAAAGTTTGTAATAAAGAAACAGTCGAGTAGACAACAAAACAAAGGTAACTTGTACCAAGAACCAACTTACACAACCCATAAACTCCACACTCCATAGAAACAAGAAACAAAACAAACACACAAGAAAAAGTGCCAAAACATCTGGACACGGAGTATATCAGGAAAAACTAAGAATCGCTGCGCCTGCAAGTTGTCACCTACGCTCACCTGCATTGATATCAAATACATTTGTTTTGAATCTTTTGATAACCATGCAAGTTTCTAAACTTCAACATCGAACCAAGAAATGCAAGTGTTAAATGAAATCCACAGCCCGTAGATACAAATGTGACCAATTCATGTCTGAAATATACAAGCTACAACACCTAATTAACACCGGAGTAAATTAGGTGTTGTGCCCAAAGAGAAAAGTTATATACTTTTAGATGCATGATATTACAAAATGCTTGTGCCCGTTTTCTAGAGATTCAAGGCCTGTGTATACCAAGAAAGCATTCAGAACCACCATATGTATTAATGGCCAAACCAAACCCTATCACAAGATGAATGTACTCCTTGCAATCTGGTGCCCTAGAAGTTTTTTTTCCTAACAAATCGGATAGACCTAAGTCTACTCCTGCACCATACTCATTGTAAATACCCATCTTGCACTACATCTGCACAATGTAGTCATCCATGCATGCATAAAAATGCATAAACACTTGAATACAAGCACTGTGAATGGCTCAAGTACCATGAATCAGTACAACCTCTGATCATGTTTCTGAGGGAAGGTAGGGAATCTAGTAATAAAATAAAATTCTTAACATAGTGGTTAGCAGATTAATATTGTTATGCTTACGATACACATGATGCGGTAGGCCAGTAAACCAAATTTTTTTTGAAATCAAATCCTGTACAATCAATTCAAAGCATGAATAAGAAAATTGAAACTAACCAGAAATTCAGGTGCCATGAACTCAAGAAGCATCAGCTGTGACCTTTCCTATAGTTTTAAGGTCAAAGATCTCGATCCAATAACCATCAGGATCCTTAATGAATGCTATCCCTTTCATCTTTCCTGCAATCACCATCACAAAATCAAGGAACCAGAAATACATAAATATTTCCCCATTCTGTATTTCTTCAAATAAAACAGTACAGGAATCTAAAAGGGGTGTGCTAAAAATCCAAAAACCAAGGAGTAAGTGAGAATGAAAAGTAATGGTCTTGGTCATCCACCCAAAGATAAGGAAACACACATGTCTTGCTCTTTCCTTATTGTAAGTTTGTAACCAAATGCATGATTGAACTAGAAGATACCAGACATGCATATATGAGCACGCACCTAACTGTGCACATACATCCATTCATCCTTAAAAACCATAATGCTTCTCAAAGGGTTTTGATACAAACTTAGAATTATTGCTGCTGTTAATTCAGGAAAGTGATGATCTTTTTGGTTAACTGAAACCATCTGCATTACTTATAAATAGGGTATACAACAGAGACTCCCTAGAAACTGATACTAAAAATTATCAGTTTATTTACATAAAAAGGATCTAAGGTGACCCAATCAATCCCCACCAATTATATGTGCTAAAGTTCAATGAGGTCCAGCTTTCCAGGATACATCTCATACTTATTAATAGATTCTACTATATAAGTGTTCTTACCATCATCTGGCTTTTTCACAAATTCTATCCCAAGACTTTCAAATCTCTCACATGCCTTGTATGTATCATCAACGGTGATGCCAATGTGTCCTGAGTAACAAAATTAGACAGTTAGGCCAGCCACTGTGAATGCCAGAAAATAGAATTGATTTAAGGCACAGAGTCTGTCAGAATCACTATGTACAAAGTAGAAAAAGTACATGTATCATGCTTGATCAACCACTACCAATGGCCATCAGGCAAAGCTACAAGGAAAAATGACTGAGGAATATTCATATTATTCACATTTGCAGCAATATATGACTTAGGGTTTAAGGTTGCTGATCCAGTATGAATTTCAGTAGTTACTGATCCTGTCCACAAATCGAGCCTTCCTGATAATTAGACCAACTGAGCATTGGAAGCTTTCATATCTTTTGCTTAAACACAAAAACATTTTACTCTATACCACACTTTATATAACAATACACACCGAATCCATACAAAAATGTTTACACTTTAAAATTTTGTTTATTGTTGAAAAATGTATCCTAATTTTTTTATAGGCAGAACTAAGCATTATGAATGTATTTTAAGTTCATGGTTCAGAGAGAGTCCAAATGTAAGCATTTCTTGGAACCATCAATACTTGCTGCATAAGAAGAAATGACATAATACCTGGCATTTCGCATTAAATGGAATAGTTAATCAAAGTCTAAGTAAGGGAAGAAACAACTACGCTATAAAACATAAAAATAAGAACCGTATGTTTTAACGCGTTGATAGGACGTTACATACCAAAGCCACGAGGTTCTGAATTCCCATTGTGATATCCTTTGAATTCTGGATCACTTTCAGTACCCCAATTACTGGAAATAGAAGTGATTGTCAGATATTACCGAGAGCACTCAACAAAAATTGTACTTATTTTCCATGTAGGAAAAACAAAAGAATCTCACTGTGTCAACTCAATTGTAGCCTTCCGACCAAAAGTCCAAACTGTTCTATCAACTGAGTTAGTTGGGGCTGAAGCAGGGTCCTATTCCAGAAAAAAACCAAATTTAAATTGAACGTCTCTGGAAACACCAGGACAATTTTTAGAGACATACTATCACACACTTTAATTGCATATAGGGGTTTGACAGATTAAAATGTGAAAGGCCAAACTGCTTCTTTAAGAAGAAGCATTAAATGGGACATCAGAGATGTGTCAGATGGTTGAGGGAATGGAAATATGGTAATCCAACTACAACTGTAAAACCAACAAGAGCACCTAGTATAAAATTCTGTTACAGCAGATGGGACGTTATGAATTTTACCTCATAGCCCAAAAAGTACAAACTAAACTTCATTTCCGGAAAATCGAGCCTCTTAAGTAGCCTGAACAATAGTATAAATCACCATCAATTTCCACTTAAGGAGTCAATTTTTTGAACAACAACATCCGGTTACAGAATCTCTAGCTTTAGCAAAGTGCATACATGCATGTTTACATACACACTCATACAAAACCAATCAAAGAGGCACTACATCTCATGATAACACAAAAACAACCCAACTGAAATCCTGCTATCATGTCCCAATAAATCCAAAGAAGCTGTGAGGTATCCATAGACAAACCCACCAAAGTTCAACATCAAGAGTAACATCCTGATACTTTAAACCGATATTGATTTGCCTGTTCTTCCTTTTGCTCCACTATTTGTGCAGATTTCTAATAACAAAGACAACCAATGCACTCAAAGTCTGATGCACTAGAATCCTAGATATTAATCAACTCTACCCTCCAGACACAAAAACACAATAATTTCACGAACCCAAAAACTCCTCAACTTAAACAAAGAAAATGCCAATCTTAACTCATACTTAACACAACAAAAGCATATAAACAGTAGAGAAAGAATTTCAATCAAAACGCCGTAAACAACAACAAAAACTTACGACATTCCCAACACACGCGAATAAAAGTCAAGACTGGCTTTTGGGTCCTTTATTCGGAACATCTGCAATCAAAATTCACAATAAAAATCCACTTCTACAGCAAAATTAAATACAGAGCAAGTGTCAGAAAAACAAAAATACAAACTTTGTATCTATTCATTCAAGGGGAGGCGGTTGCATACAGTTTGCTGCATGATGTAACCCTTAGTGGCTTCATCTGGGGTGGCCTGGAGGCCCGGATTGTTGGCCGGAGATTCTTTCGGTTCGGACGCCATTGAAGAAAACAATCGGAATCGGTATTTCGGATTCGGACCCTGCAAAGACACACTAAAGTATGAGAGCAACCGAACTATCGAATCCTGAAGGATATAGAATATATAAGATGAATTTGGACCTTGGGCTTGGGGGAAAAGAATGGGATTGTATAAGGAGATGATGGGAAGGGTTTGGGTGCCAATCGGATTAGGGAGAGGCGGGAAAAGACGGTTGTGATTGCAGAAGCAGAAGAAGCCATGGAGGCCTCTTGTGACTTGTGAGTGCGAGAGAGAGAGAGTGATTTTACCTTGTGCGAGAAAGGAAACCAGAGGAGGACAGGGCTCTCTCGTGCGGGAGATTTTGGAGGTCTCTATGTGCCTTTATTTTCTTTCGGCCTTTTCGCAAGATGGTGCATATATATCAATTTGCTCTGAGATTTTATTCAGGTACTTTTATAAAAAAAAAGTGAGATTCATAAAAAGTTGAGCTGCAAAAAGTGTTTATAAAATATTTAAAAATAGTTTATTTTCATATTTTTGGATGAAAAAATACCGAAAATATGAAGCAGCAAAAATAAGCTTATTCTCACAGTACAGCAGAATCAGTTTTTTTCAAAGCACATAAATACCAAATCAACCCTTAAAATAAATATAAGTGATTTTGAGATTGTTTACTGTCAATTAGTTTAATTTTTCTGTGAGAATTTTTCATCAAATTGAGGGTTTTTCAAATCACCCTTCTTCTTAAACTTGTAGTTTATTTAATTTAATAAAAAAAATTCATAGAATGATCAAAATGATTGACAGTGAACAATTGTAGGGGCTATTTCTATTGATTTTAAATATCAAGAACCAAAATGAGAAATTATACTAATCTCAGTGACTATTTTAACTAAAAGCTTTTTCTTTCCTTTGTATGATTATTTATTTATTTTTTTCATACAAAAATATTTTACTCTAACTAATAATCTAGTTCCAGCTGAAGGAGACTGAGCAAGGCCGATAATTAGGATCAAATTCAAAATATAATACATTCTCATTATCTAGTTAGTTGAATCTAAGACCTATCACTAGTTAAGATATATATCACGAAAATGCATTACTAGTTAGTTCATATGGATAATGAAGTTTTATGTATAAATTTCGTAGATGATAAATTTGAAATCAATTTATTTTTAAAAAAACTCAACCTCCCTTACCCACCTCCCCCTGCCCCCTGCCCCCTGCCCCTTGCCCCCTGCCCCTGCCTCCCTCCCCCTAATATAATTAAATAAGAAAAAGTACATGAAAATACACATACATATTATATTATGTATGAATTAGCTAATTGTAACAACAATGACATCCATTTTTAGGCCTTTGACAAAACAAGATAATACAAACACACGTCTAGTATTATAATCTCGTAAGGTGTATTTTCATATATATAATAAATAATATATAAGTGATATATGTTGATTTCACTCATACTTACTTAAGGCAAAAGAAATAATATACATATATACACAGTGTAGTACCGTTAAATTTCATAAACAGTGTAATACCGTTAAGTTTCATAAACAGTGTAGTAAGTTTCATAAACAGTGTAATAAGTTTCATAAAAAATGTAGTAAGTTTCATAAATAGTATGTGTGAGGATGCCCGGTCCCGTGTGTTAGTTTTTTTTAAAATTTTTTTTAATATTAAAATTATGTCTTTTTCATTAAAACTTAAGTTCTTTTGTCATTTTTATTAAAATTTAATAGTTTTTCATTAAAATTTGTGTCTTTTTCATTAAATAAAGTTATAACATGATTTTTTGTTAAAATAAACTTAGCACAAGCTATTTTCATGAAAGTTCCCTTTATTTTTGTCCTTAAATTATTATTCGAGTAAAAATTAAATCAATCTTAAATTCAGAGACCATATCAACAGTTTACTAAAGAAATGAAAGAGATTGTATTGCTAGTTGTTAGCCCAAAACCTTCTCTTATGCCACGCTTGAAATTTTGCTTATATTTACCACAACTATAATGTTTAAATAAACATTCTGTTCCAAAAAACAAATATCACAACAATAGGGTACAAACCTATGAAGCATAGATATGGAAGGGAAAGCAAGGATTAAGGAGCATGTTTCGCTAATTAAAAAAGGATGTGCTATCCACACACTTCATTTTATTTCCTACACATCCTCATAATTTGTAACCGTCGGATCCAATTGAATTAAAGAAGTTCAAAGAGTAGAAATTAACAAAAGATATATGAGACGTAAAAAATGATGTGTGGATAGCACACCCCTTAAAAAATACAGGTATGTTTGATTCTAAATGGATCAAAACTTACAATATTAGAAATATAACAACCATATTTATCCTAATTAACAAAAGGTCAATAGAGTTTCAAAGACATAAATGCAGCTAAACTTGAAAAATTACAAACTAGTGCCGTTACATGTAGAGATGGCAACGTTTTCCTCAAAATTTTTATATTTTTTGATGGGTCGGTCGACTAGGCTTTAGACTCTGTATTGTAATTTCTATTTTGCACTTCTGCTTATTCAGACTCTGCATCGGAGTTTCTATTTCATTGTAGTCGAATCAGTCACAACTTATATTAGATTTTAGGGATACCTAAATTTTACATCCTCAAGGTTTGAGATGATTATTAAACTGGGCCAAAAAGTTTCAATTTTCTCAAATTGCTCCCTAAAGTTACGAAATTGTTTCAATTTGCATCTCTTGTATATTTGAACGTCTACTTATCCTTTACATTGATCATTTTTTTAGGTTATGTCGTTCAAATGTGACCCAGTTATGGATTCCATCACCATGTCATCAATTTAATGAAAATTCAAAGGATTCATTAGACAAAAGGTGTACATGTATTGTCAGTCCCCGATCTCAAGATATGCTATCATGCCTTGCTTTGAGACATGACCAAAAACAAAACAATGGTTCAACAACGCATTAACTTTTTCTTTTATATCATGATTGCATCTAACCTTTGTGTTAGACTGTCTACATACCCTAACACATGATCAAGCCATTCGTAGTTCACTGTTTGATAAACGCTGACATTTCTCATAGTACTTCTAGCAGAAAAACATATAGTTCTAGAATCACTCGATGAAACTCGAGCAACATGAGTCACTAGATTCCACACTACATAATGAAATTATATGGTAGCCAGGATTGTCATTTTGTCATCCACATGCATCACATGTTTTCCAACACAATTCCACAATCACGAAAAATAATTGATCTCATGAATCCAAGCCGCACAATATTAACATTTAACTACATTAATCAACCAACAAGACCAAATATCACTCCACTAATTTTTAATAAAACCAACCTCTATAAGGTTTACCATATTTCGCTACTGAAATCCAAGTATCCAACATTGTAACCCACGTTACAACCACAAACGTGAACTTGAGTAACTTCTATGCACAAGATTTTAGGATTCCAAACTAACTTAACAGAACTGAAATTGAAATGGAATTCTGGACCAACTCAATGAAACCCAATCGAAGGTAAGGTACCAGACCATTGAATAAAACCGAATAAGGAAAAGGATTCTAGACCACTCAACGGAATCCAGCTAGGAAGTTGTCGCCATTGCAAATATGCTAAGCAAAACGATAGGCATAGTATAATAGTATAGGTAGTGATCACCCATCGCTGATACACTAAGCATAATCACTCTTAGAATATGTATGATCCTCCATTGAGGATATATCAAGCAGGATTGTATCCTAGAATACTAGGTGATTACCTATTGTGAAAATACCAAGCATGATCGCTCCTAGAATACGTATGGTCCCTTATTGTGGATATACCAAGCAGAACTATAAACATAGTCTAATAGTGTATACAGTGATCACCCATCACATATATACCAAGCAAGATCACTTATAGAATATGTATGGTCCCCCATTGCTGATATACCAAGTAGTATCGTATCTTATAGTATTAGGTAATGATCACCCATCGCGCATATACTAAGCATGATCACTCTTAAAATGTGTATGGTCCCCCATCACGAATATACTAATCAGAACCATACCCCTATCGCGAATATACTAATCAGAACCATAGGCACATATCCAAAAGTATGGTCTTCCATTGTAGATTAACCAAGTAGGACCACTTATGGGAACAAGGTTACCAAATAGGCAATGACCACCAATGCGGATTAACCAAGCAGGACCACCAATAAGTACCATGTACCTAAGTAGGCAGTGACCCTTCAGTGCGGAACCAAGCAGAGTCACCCCTATAATGCGTATGGTCCCCCAATACAGATTAATCAAGCAAAATCATAGCCATGCATCAAATGGAGTGGTCCCCCAATGTGGATTAACCAAGCAGGACCACTCATATACCATATTGCTACATAGTTCAGTTATATCATTATACATCATATATCATACATCCTATATCACGCATCGTACATCATACAACAATACAACACGAATCACAATTGTAAACACATACACTATCGATTCCACATGACAAACTTGTAGAATTATCAGAGACATGGGCCAAAGGCCCACTTCCAACAACACCGATGTTGTCCCCAACTTGATAATTACCACCTGCACAATTTGTCAAATGTGATGTGTTACCATAAAAGGCCTCGGTACTGGTTGGAGTGAGGTTAGCATATTTAAACTCTTCTTTTCACCAAGATACTGTCGATGTGGGATATTTCAACAAAACCATATATCTTATCATATAGACATACAAGTCTTACATGATGCTTTTAATATGTACTTGGCTCATATTTTCATACTAGCACTCACCACTGTTCTAAAAATCACCGCCTAGCGCCGCCTAGGCCCCACCTAGGCGCTAGGCCCCAGCACACCGCCTAGACCACCTAGGCACCCGTTTAGCCCGCCTAAGCACCGACCTAGGTTGCAACTCACTTAGACATAAAATACATAACTTTCATTTTGCATTTTGTTTTTTTTCAATAAATTGTAAGAGACTTGTTGCATACTTGAATGAACAAACATTATATCCTTATTTCACATGTTTTCATTATGTTCTAATACTTCATGATATATATGCATTCTATTTTGTAGTTTATGATGAAATTATATATATCTCAAGTAGAAGCAGATACTTATTTACATGAAATATGATAGATTTACTTAAATCCGCCTAGTCCGCCTAGTCCGCCTAGGCTCCCACCTAGCCACTTAGGCGCTAGGCGCTAGGCCCCAGCCCGCCGCCCGACTAGCGCCTAGCGACTTTTAGAACCTTGGCACTCACACATATTGTTTATATCATCTAGAAGTTTAACAAACACGTAAAT